CAAATAAGGTACATTATGGGAAATATGAGGGGCGGTATACAGCAATCTCCATACTACAGGCTCTACAGCTTGTTGCAATCATATCTGTATCAGAAGGGACTGGCAACGAGTGCGTGCCACAGGTTTAGCGTATTCTTTGTTGCCGACTGGCTTCATTGCAGAACCGTACTGATTAAAATAAATTAAAAGTGCTCCACAAAAATATTGAACTAAGTATTTTGTTTGTTATTTCGGTTGAAAAGTTAGAGTGATTTTTAAAACTTGAAATGTGAAAGAGATACTAAGAAATGGTACAAAATAGCGAGAGAGGTTAACAAAAGAAGACAATAGAATTAGTGCATAATAGTGCGTAGAATTCTAGTACCTATCTCACGGTTCAAGTAAAATCACTCTGAGTTGGTAAAATCGGTTTCCAAAGTAATCGACCAAAGACTGAAGACGTCAAAAGAGAGCACAATAATCGCATTTACAAACTGACTAATTCATAAGCGGTAAGCCTACTCCACAACACAAGCAAAGATAAACCTGAAGCTGTGCTAATAATTTTTCCGACCAACGCAAGGTGTAATTTTTCTGCTCTCAAACCGAGCCCCTCGTTAAACAAAGCATTTTAGTTTCCATATAATTGACCTTATGAGGATGACTATTATTGCCCAAACGATGTATACTATTACAAACTCTTTGCTTAACAATATATTGTCGTTCCTTACTCTCCAGGGATAAGCAAACCCCGACATTTCTTCCGACAAAGTGTATTTTTCCTCGAGCGAGTCGTAAGCGTTCGAGACGGTTATTGCGAATAAAGATTGATCGTACAAGTGACAGCCGCCGAATTTATCCGGAGGGAAGTTATCACAATGGCGGGCAGGTCCCGAGGGAGCGATGCAGTGTTCTATAAGGCTACAAGCGAGAACCCATTTCATAATATTATCACGCACCAGTCGCGTATTGTATATTAGTATTGCCCCGGCTTGTGGCATATATTTGCTCATTTCGTTGGTTCCCTTCATCGGCAAGAACTCTAACATACGTGGATCTGTCCCTGATAAAATAGTGTGGCCAGCTCGTTTGAAATAATACAGAAAACTGGAATTCTTCTCGACCATATATTGGACAATTTTATCGTAGCTGTCTTGAAACACTACCGAAGTATCCATCCATAGAACTCCGCCAAATTCAGAGAGAATTCTTTGAATGATTAGCGGTTTCCACGAGTAGTTATGTAAATTTAAAACAAATGTTGGAAAAACGGAGAAGTCAAAGACTCTGTAAGCTACATTTGGAATGTTTCGTAGTTCTTCAACCTCGTGTCTCTTGAGTCCTAAATCGTAAACTATGATTTTGATGTTTTGGGGCAAAAATTTCTCCATGACATCTATCCGAGCCATTAGTTCTATAAAGTGGTTGCTTGAAATAGCAGTAACAGGCTGTAGATGTCTCATATATGATGCTTCAGAGATGGCATTCACCGTTGCGCCAGTTTCAAGTTCATAAGATAATCGTTTAAAAAGTTCGAGTATGTTTTCATCAACGCGGAATTCCTTTTGCCCTTTTATTGAGGAATTGAATGGGTGCTCGTACCTTCCAATCGCTTTTGACATATGTATGGTATTTTGAGATCGTTTTGCTTGTAAGTACTCCTTGTAAACGGTTGCTCCAATAATAAACAGTAAAACAACAAAAAACGTAGAATATCGTTCTAATAGCTTCATGTTCAAGTTTCCGCGTTGTTGATTAAGGGTGGATCACGTCAGATCAAGAAAACGCTGCGTTTTTGTGGCCGAATTTACGTCAATTAAGTGTGCAACATTTATTCCGCTTCATTGAAGACCAAAACTAATTTCCAAGACCTCTATCGTCAGACATTTCATTTCGCACCATTCAAACCCCATCATGCTTGCTCAGCTTTTATAATGGAACGTTTAAAAATCTCTTCCAGACATTCTCCAAGTGTGCCGTGCCTCACAAGTGTACTAGACAAGGGAATGCATAATTCATTAGGACTCGAAACACTCGGTTCGAAACCTGTTGAATGCGTGGCAGTTATCCCAGTTTCTTTTGCAAGTAGACCCACGTAAACATCGTCTATTCTGAAGACTGGTATCAGGTCTAGAACCTCGACGAACAGAGCTACTACGTCGTGAGATAAAACAAACCCAAATCCTGAGCAAAAATCAGGGTAGTAATAATCCTCGTATTGTTCGTATGTAACAGACCATTTCCCCCCCTTATGTCTCAAAGGTTTCAGTTTGTGCATAAGGTTGCCTGTGTAGAGGCCTTTGCTGGGCGTTGTAGGCCTATTGAAATACGACACCAGTCGCAAGGGGTGAACAAAACAATCGTCATCCACTTTTAAAAGAAAAGAAAATTCGCAGTAGTTGACTGCCCATTCGAATCCTGTTTGTATCTTAAACGTTAAATTATCGTAGTGATCATTGTAATCTCCACGCACTAGGTCCTCGAAGTCTTTTTCCTCCTTCAGCAATAACTGCGACAGGGCTTTTAGTTTAGTTTGTCCCACAATAAAAACGGTTTTCCAAAGACGTCGATTGAGCTCATCGAACGCCCATGTTTTTCGTATGTTTTCTCTTCGATCCAAATGAGCTGGCGCGGAACTGACAAGAACAAGGAGATGGTAATATTGATCGCAAGTTCTGTTTGTAACAAGCACTGTTTTGCGTTCGCGTGACTTCCATAAAAGCAAAGGAACTCTTTCCACCTTTACTGATACACGTGTCTCGTTGAAATTCCATGATGATTTTAAACTCCAATAAGAGGTCTGTAAGCGCATGATATAGAACAAAACAAGAAAAATGGTGCAAACTGTACTCGAACAACATATCAGCACCTTTCTGATCTGGCACCTCATATTTAATACAATTAAGAGACTTAGCCTTTTCAGCTAAATTCCTGACGTTGCATTTGTTTTGGTTATACGGTTTCATTTGAAACACTGTTCAGTGTAAGTAATTCGAGTCTGTCGGAGTTAGGTCGAAACCGTAGTTCGCATTTGTTCGACGACGTATTTTTTTTGCGACATTCGTTTTATCGTGACGGGCATTTTCCATGGGAACGGAAATAGATATATCTTTCGAAATCTGTCGGTTGATGTGCTTGTTTAAGTGCCTTTGCGAGCAGAAATTTGCATTGCGGGTCAATGGGCTCCTGTTGTCAGAGAGATGTGTAATTATGCACATAAAACTGGCACAGTGTCATAAATGTTATAAATTAGAGTCAACGTTCCTCTAGACCAGCAGTCGGGTACGGAAGACAGCTTCACCAAACTAGTGATTTCTGCAAACATTTCACTGAGGATTATACAAGCTGTTACTGTCTTGTTAGCCTACGTAGCAAGTGTTTCCGTGTGGTTTCGGAGCAAAGAAAGACCAAGGAACGACATGGAACAGAATTTTCAGTTTTGGCTGCACTAAGAATGGAACGACAGCCAAAAAATGAAAGGGAGGAGGTGGAGGGGAAGGAAGGCCAACCCCCGCTCTTTTACTCGCCCCATTTTTCGCGTGCTCTTTGACTCTCGTTCCTCGTTCTTTGCTCCGAAACCGCACGGAAATGCTTGCTACGCAGGCTACTTGCTTGTGTATAGCTGAATGTCCTGCAGCGGTTTCAAATGCCTGTGATGGTCACTGATTCTAATTGTGCTGCATTAAACAAGTAATCAAACTGCCACTTTCGCTCACTCTTTAATTGCTCTTTTTGCTAAGTATAACTTCGAATTTCCAAAAAATGTTCACTAATTCGAGACATTAAATATTCAATCATTTTGCAATAAATACAATTACGTAATCCAATAAATACCTCAAACTTTATATATTTTACGTGTATCGTGATTCAATGCCAGCACCTTTTATATAATCAATCTCATAAAAGCCGAAAGAAATTCAAACCGGGTAACGTGGTAGGCGCTTGAGTGGGTAGACTGTTCACACATCCCCATCTCCTAAGTAGATTTGACACTCATCCAAGATGGCCGCCCGGAACGCAAAGTGCTCGATCTCGAGGATCTTACGGAAAAATAGGGGACTGTGAACAGCCTATTGAGAGGGTTAATAAATCTCGATTACTTTACATGCTTTCCTCGCGATAATCATTCATTGTCCTATTGCTCTTTTCGACGTGTCCTACGCTAAATAAAGTTCATAATCTTCAAAATTTCAATGATTTAGTGATGGACTGAGCATCATCATTGTGAATCGACTTATGAATCGAAAATAGCCTATCAGGGTGTGGCGGAACATGCCCAGGGGAGGGAGGCACATCAAAATCAATCAAACTTCCATTTAACTCCCCACCTATCCCTCCATGGATGTAAGGTTTCTCCGAACCTGCACCCTGCGGAACGAATTCCTTTGCTGCGGTATTTTTGTCAATAATAAAACTGTCCGGTAAGACACTTATTGTCTGTTTTGGTATTTCATCAACGCTGTCCGGATTAGATTTTTTACGAAGTTCTGTTCTCGGCTGACTTGCATTTAGATCAGAAGAATTATCATCATTATTTTCAAAGAGAACACCATTCTTTCCTTCCATAGCGCGTTCAACCTCGTTCCTGAAGCATTCTGAGTCAGGTGCTTTAGCTTTTGACTGGGGAGCAAATTTCCATTCTTCTCTAATCAAAACTTGTATGATGTTGCCCTGATCATCTTCCCTCATCACAGTTCTACACTTGTTTAATGCCGCCTCATCCAACTGTGTAAGTTGTTTTTGGCTATCCCCATCGTTATCACACCGTTCTTTGGAGTTGTCACGCAACAGAGGGAGTGGCACTGAGTCACACGTGTTGCTTGACTCAAGGTATCTCGTGGTCGTGTCACGAAAAATAGGACTTCTTTCAGTCACACCGTCCCGGAACTTCCTGCTGTCAATTTGATCACCCTTCATCATAGCCAGATTATTCCTTGACCTCACCGGCATACTACTGCAAACATCTGGCAATTCTGTGCAATCTCTGCTGCACACAGACTCTGCTGTTTGTCGTAACGCTGTGGATGCCTTCTCCTCTAAAATCACGTTGGTTGCTTTGCCTTTACGCCTTTTTCGAACTGGCGCAATGTTCTCATCCTCGTCAATTCCAAGTTCTTGGCATTGTGCAAGAACTGTAAAGTGAAAAGAAAGGATATTTGTATGATTATGATTATTATGTTTATTATTCAGAGGAAAATACTAGTAACAAAAAAAATGTGGCACAGGGAACCCACTACATAACTATATACCGCACGAAAGAGCACAGTCCAATGGCAGCTGTGGACAGTTGTTTGTCCTCATCTTTGGTTCAGGATTGGGAATAACCTTAGATTTTCTAAACAACGTTACAGAAATCAATACTGTAGAGATACCTAAAACTTAACCTGGGACGTTAGGGCCAGTAAACGTTCGCAAAACGACACTGACTCGATCCCTAGCTAAAGATAAGTGTGCATCGACTCGTTTAAAAACTCGTTCCAAGGCGATAGTGGCACTTGATCGAAGCTGCCTCTGCAAATATTTTTTTGGGGAGGCCACCTGGCATCGATATTCGACATTGAAATTAAGACAGTATCAGGTTGCGTTCTCTTTTGGTCGAACGCAATTAACGTGAAACCGTACACCATTAAAAAATGTTACCGGATTCTGTGGAATCTGTACCAAAGAAAATCTTCCTTATTCTAAATCCGACACGACAGAAAGTCCTTGTATAAAGGACCGGAACTTTAAGTCCAACCTCGTTTCTGAGGTTTTAAGTCTTTTGGTCCCCTGGGAACGAGGTTAGTTGAAGTTCTTGAGTCCTTCCTTGCTATCCTCGGGTTCTAAACCTCAATTCGAATCAGAAGATCGAAGATCTCAAAATCCCCAGAGACATTCCTGGTTTTCTCTCCAGTTTTCTCATTTCGAAAATCACTTACCTCTCTCGTCAGGGACTTGTTCAGTGACCTGCAACAGTTTTATTGACCCTTCCGTCTTTTCGCATTTTTTCTTTTCCTCGGCGTCGTGACAAGCAGCTTGTTCATGAAAGCGTTCTTCGCCCGATTCATCTTGGTTGCAAGAGTCGCACTCACGAAGGCGAGTGAGTCCCCTGAGTCTGTTGAATATCAAAAGGTGGAGCAAACTCGATCAGAATCTTGTATGAATCTACAAATCTGGTCACAGTTACATTTGAGGCTGTTAGCTGTTTTTAAGTGTATGGGAAAACAAAAAGGGAAAATGAAAAAGTGCAGAAAACATCCATCACCATAACGGTCGCTTTTGATTTTCCTTATCCTAGCGGAACGCATGGCACACCTAGTAAATGGCTCCACCAGCCATCGGTCCCTCTGCAGTTCATCGCCAGAGCGACACCTAGTATAGTGGGTTCAGTTTGACTGGTATCTGAGAGGCAGATTATTCTTTTCTCATCCCGCGTCACACGATAAACATGTTTTTGTGCTCACCATTGGCCTTGGGTTTGTTAGTCAGATGACTATTTCGAGCTACCGACGTAAAATAAGGACTCTTTACCTTTACATCAAGAGAGACGCTCAAGTGCTAAATTAAAAAAGGCAAGTTTTGCTTCTTCCCCCAGGAATTGCGAAGGTTTTTAACCCAGGTCATTTGCCAGGGTACTGTACCTTTCAAAGGCGTCCTCCAATGTTTCCAGTCCCGCTGGTGGTACATTGGGATAGACATGGTAGGGTTTAAGGTAACGTACTAGATCCTGTATCTGGGAAAAATAGACACTTGGAATTATTACAAGAAAAAGGTTATATACATTACAAATTTACAATGGGATAACAGGGAATAGTAATTAATTATTTGGAGCCTAGAGGCTAAAGGAACAGTGAGGTTTTCAAGTTAGCCCCTAATACAATTCGTTTAGTAAAAAAAAAGAGAGAGACAAGGGGAGAAGAACTAACAGCATAATTAAGTTATAGTTAATAATGAAATTTCTATTCAGGTTACTTTCAGGGATTGTTCTGACAGCAAATAACGTTTTATTTCTTTGGAAAAGGAAAATGAGGTCTTTCAGGTGCTGAGGAATATCGCGTAAGAGATCTATTGCATGATACGAAAACATTTGTTTGCCCATGTTGGTTCATGTTTATTAGTTCTGGTAAAACAAAGGACGGAGAAAAAAATAGGCAGGTACAAAAGCGTATGTATACCTCTTCCATTGAAGCATGCATCGAATGAACTACCCTCCACAGTCTTTTGCCCTTGTCATATCTGTAGGGACAAAGAAATTACTCTTCAAACATAGAAGTTACAGCAGGGTGGAGGGTATTAAAGACGGTTTTCGTGTACACGTACGGGTAACTAAAACTCTGACCCGTACTGATAGCCGTAAATAAGGGTAGATTACTTGTTTCCCAGAAGAAACGACAAGACCGGCTAAAGTGATCATCCAAATACGACATTTAATGGGTAAACATTGTCCCCTTTTAATATACAGCTATGTCGAGAAAGGTTGTCGGAAAAAAGTGCACGCGACAATCCTGAAAGGCAATATGGGATATAATCACTACACTGTTTCTGACGACTGTAACTGTCGAACCTACCTTTGCTGCTTCGCTTTAACACTCGAAAACATAGTCCATGGCCTCTCGTGCCATTCTTTCAAAATTTCTATGAAGAACAGTGAACTCAAAACCACCCACAATACATTTCGGGATTGTCGCGTGCACTTTTTCCGACAACCTTTCTCGAAATAGCTGTAAATACGTGGGAAACATGTTCCCATATTGGTACCTACAGGCTGACACGAACGGTGTATCTTAAGGTCCCTGATCACTGGCAATTCTAAATTTGCAAGTGCAAGCCATCGCTAACTATGATAGATTTTATTCGAAACCAACAGATCTCTACAGTAACGGGCTTCTATTCCGATACACTTGCCAAAAACGATAGGGTTCCACAAAAGTAACGGGCTTCTAAACCGATACACGTGCCTTCAACAAAATTACAATTCTCTAAATCGAAAAACTACTCCGTTCAAAGTGTCACATGATCACGTGTTCGAAACGTGATCGGCTACATCTAAGGTCAAAAAATGTCACGCGCGAAAAGTAACACAAAACTCCGTGACGCTAACTTCCTTGGCCAATTGTAGGTGGCACGGAAACTGGATCAAGTTTGCAATGCTCTGCGTACTATTTTCAATTTCACCTTCTGAAGTCAGCTGGCATTGGTCCTTTGTCACGTGCAATCCACATGGTTGTTGGCTTTATTCGCAGCACTTTCATCTTAAGGGAAGGCTGAGTTGTTACTCCACAGGGGAGATCTGATTCACAGTGTCGCTTAGACTACAAAAATTAAAGTACACAACATGTGTTCTTCCATATTTGATATTCCATACGTTATTCATTGGGCGTGATTAAACTGAATGAAATATACATACATGATACAAAAAAGTGGTAAATAAGGTAAAGAATGGACTAATGCCCAAAAGGGAAAGACACGAACGGGACACTTAGACCCATGATGGGTGCCCACACAAGGGATATACAGTGAATGGTTGCGGGGAGGGGGGACGGGGAAGAAGGGGTAAAAAAGAGAACGTGAACACTTTGATTTGAATTGAGTACTAACCAATAACAACTCTTGTCTTGAAAAGCGAGCAAACCTAAAAGATGTTTGCAGTTTTGATTTCTCACGCTTGACTGGCCTTTTTCTCGCTACACAATAAAATGCCATAAATATTTCAACCTTACACGAAAGACATACAGAGATAGCGAGAGCATGATCGCACGCTACGTGTGAACATGAACAGAACCTAACTTTCATGACATACTGATAAACACGTGTAACTATTAACAGAAACTGCCAACCTTCCAACTGCAAGCGTGAATCCTAGTGGATCGTCCTTCAGTGGTGAAGTAAGGAGTCATATCTGGAAGATACCTGTACATGGCCAATCTTTCAGCACTTACATGGATCTAGCGATAATTGAAATCCGTCAAGTTGTTATCCCAGCGAGCACGTCCGCAAAACAACGCGGGGTGTATTACGCGCGTCACCCCATTCGCCTCTCGCGGGTATGTTACGCGCGCTACTTCGGTAACTATTGGGACAACTAGAAGGAGTCTGCTAAAAGTCTAACGGAAACTGGACCGAGTTGACTCCTGCAAAGACTTCTGGGACTGTCACGAGGGACAGGGAAAAAAAAAATGGCCAACAGCTGACCGGTGCGTCACCCGTAGCGATCCCAGAAACCCTTGCGGGACGCATTTCGGCTCCAGTTCCAGTGGCCAGACACGCTTAATCAATTTGCGCGGACAAAGAACAAGCCCTCAACGAATCAGCTTAAGAATCCCTTACAGGCGGCCAATTTGCAGAAGCAAGAAGCTCTGTAAGAAACTAACCTTCATTTTATACTTCATGGCTACCTCTTTGAGTAGGTACTCATATCCGTACATTCCTTTGCATAGTAGGCTCACGACATGTTCTGGACCACGTGAAAACCACCTATGAAGAGGTTTACAGGTATATTTGACAAACTCCCCAGGTACAGAGGCAGACTTGTACTCTGTCGTTATTTATTTGGTTACAGGTCGTTTTGACACAATTTTGTTCGGTCGAGGTGTAGATAGTTCCATGTACTTGGCTTAAAGAACCAAGATGATTTTCTTGTTCACGCGCAAACTATTCTTGAAGTGATCGAATTTTTTGTGCAGTTTACTTCAATTTCACTGCTTGAGTTTGTACCGAAAAGACTTTGATTTTCAGTGCGGGAGAATCGCACGGGAACACATCGGAAAGGAAGCGCGGAAAATCAGTGACGTCATGTCCCATCCCATGTCCCCTTGAGCACCTCAATCTACCACCAATCTGGAAATTACATAAATAGCTACTTCACTTGGTACTAGTCTTGTACAGTAACATAGTAGTAAGGAAGGGACCGAAATAATCCACTTTTTCGGTGCACGCTCTTTAGTATGAAGTACAAAATGTGCACCAATTCTGTATACAAATTTTTTCAACAACCAAGATATTTTTATTCCTAGGGGTGGATTTCCACTGTCGCGTAATTTTTACGTGCGTGTACACGCACCTAAATTTTTCTCGCGTAAATAAAATAGAGACAAGATATAAAGTGTTGAGCTTAAATGTCAAATCGAGCGAGGTTTAACTTATTAAAATCAGAGAAATAGGGTCTGGGCAATGTTCTTTTTGGCTTGATTTGAAGGTCATGATTAAAAATACAAATAAATATAGGTTTGAGCCAAAACAATAATGGTCTCAACTCTGCTTAAATCCGACAAGTAAAGTTTAGGCGCCGTTTACTTTATTCCCTGGCTCAAAAGTGAAATATTCTTTCCGAAATAACCGTATTCAGGACCGTACTAGATGGAGACCTAAAGGCTCAGTGCCAGCGATATGGCCGCCGTCACCTCGCCACCAAGAATAAAACTTAGCTTTACTGTTTCAAAAAGTCCCAAGTATACAGAACTTTCAAGAACATAAATTTTTTCTTAACCGTTTCTTGATCATGTTTCTGAGAAACTGCCACGCAATCCTAGGTATTTAACTGTGTCAATCATTTCAGTCATTCGTTGATAGCGAGTCGTCCGTTCTTGGTGGCGATTTGGTTAGTGGCGAAGTGTCTGTAAACAGTACCAGCTCACTCACCTATCTATCAGTTCAATGATAGCATCTCGGCTTTGTTCCTAGAGACACACAAAAAAAAGAAAATAAACTTTATCAACTGTCACCTGTGATCAGCTCAGGAATTTCAAAGCCCCGTTCAGTTAAATGTGTGTGATAAAGCAAACACACATACAAACCCGACTGGGAAGTGACTTCATCTTTGGCAGGCAAAATGTTGTGTCAATGTAGATGCTCTTGATATCCTTTATACTGAAATTGAAAGTAAACATCAAAGTTCAATAAATTGTTGCAGGCATGTTTATAAGAAAAACAATGTTCTACAATAACATTTTTATCATCCCGAAACATATTTTGTGAAATAACCGAGGGGGCAAAAATTAAGGTGATATGTCACCACTCGAACGGTCACTCATGCCGGATTCAATTCTGTGCATGGCTGAAACTCCAAATTAAAAGGCAAGTTCTTGACTTTCAAACCAACTACAAGATAACCTGAGACAAAGCCTTTTTCCAATCCGTAGTTAAATTTAATACGATAAAATTAGAAATGATCTTCGTTTGAATAAATACTTGACATACTTGCATCCCAAACCAATGAACATTTGGGATAACGTGGTGTATTACACAGCTTCGTATCTCAGTGGCAAAAAAAGGGGTTTAGGTAACGAACAAACCTGCCATTAACATGAAAAAAGGATATCCTCTTCACATCACCTTTTGCTAAACGAAAGTCACCTGTAAATAACCAAAGCAAAGGAATATGAGCTGAGTAACTCGTCTTCTTCCTGAACCATAACCTGTAGAATAACTCACATGTTGCCTGTTTTTCGTTTGTTCTGGTGCGAGTTTGGCCATTTTTTATTTTTCTGTTTAAAGCCTTGATCTTGCGACACAAACTCGAAAGAAGGCTGTATAAAGTTTAATGAGCACGTGAATAAATTCATGACGTCTTTGTCTAATTTTTCCAAGGACTCTTTCAACATTTCCTGTCTATCTAACTACCATTTATTTGTCTCCATCACAATAACTGATGATGCTGTTTGTTTGTTTTTCGCGGTTCGTAAGAAGTTGATCCTGTTAGTTCAATGCTTTTCCCCTCCATGCGTCATTATCACATGCACAGTCAACTAACTCTCTTCTAACAGACGTCAAATGGACAACTCGAAAACGGTAGCTCCCTGCCGTTCAAAAGTCCTTTTTTTATGTCCCTACAGGTGTCTCTATCTGCCTTTATGGCGGACAACTCCCTAAAGGGGACATGGAGTATTGATCCCAGTAGCGGTATCAGATCGTTTCACCCGATGGCAGTTCGCCCAGACTAAGTCGATTCGTCCGATGTGTATTTGTTGTTCTTTAAGCCTGAGGAAAAGGAATAAGCATGGAAAGACAATGACTGCACATGTGAAACCCAAGGTTCACCATGTTGAAGGGTGTTGCATATCTTCGGGCGAATCGTCTGAAGTCCTAGCGGCCCCCTTCGGGCGAAACGACCGCAATTTCCAGTAGTTCTTCAGCCGTTGCAATCGACTCTCTATAAGGCGGAAATCTTTCTTAGATGGAAAGCTACATGCAGTATCTTCCAAACAATGGTATCTGTCCTAGAGAGAGCTGGTAACTGCAGACTCTTTTTCTCAACCTCTCTTACCTGTGTAAAGGACGCTCCCATGTTGGCCTTCAAATAAGAACCTATGGACATCATAATCAAAGACAAATCCAGACAATAAAGTTAAACAGTACCTCCTCAACATGTAATTTAACTCACTAGTTGCATCTCGTTTTAATGCATTAGAGATTCATGTCAGGCACTATGCAATTAGCAAGGAAACAGCTCTAAGCCAATCATAATTCAGTTAAACGCCGTTTGTCACTTTTAACACATGCGCTGCTTTTCGGCCAAATTTCCATGGCAACATAACTTTATCAAGAGTAATTACCTATTATAGGTATCATTATCCAGATAACCAAGGTTTGAATTTATTACAACGTTCTTTGAGACAAATCACTAATAGAAATAGATAGATGTGGATAAGACGCCCGAACAAGTTAAAGGAGATGCAAGAAGGCAGTAACCATAACAACAGAGTGAAGGTCAACTATCAGGCACTTTTACAGTGTACAGTGAGAGAGGGATGGGAAGGCTGGAAGGGGGTGGGGGGGGGCTTTACCAACTGCTGGGGAAGGGCAACATGAGGAAAATGATTTGACTTAAATGGGAGCATGGCCCTTGTGACGCCCTACGACCACCCCATATACAAATAGCAAAGGAGACTGCTGGCCAGCATTACCTTAATGCTTATGTTTAACCTTCCCTGAGTTACATTTACAGTCACACATAAATACTGTTATAGAATACTTACATGACGGAACCAACACAATGACCAGCAGGGAGGAGTGTTACACAAATTGAATTTTGCTGTGGAAACTATAATCAAACACACAAAAAAATCAAACATTATAATACATAACAGAATTAAAAAATGACCAGAAGTTTTAACACACCTCTTCAGTCTTCTCATCAAAGAGTGGAATAATGGTCTGTTGCTCCAAAGGTATACTGTGCTACATTTAGAGAAAAAAAGAAGATATTTTGTTATCTTTCAGCCAATATTATAAAACAAGGAGGCAGAGACTGGCTGAGTGGTCAGCATGTAGGACCCACAATCCGGCATTCCTGGGTTCGTGTGCTGCTCTTCCACTTGCTGGATTTGTTCTCGGTCGTCATGAGTTCAAACCCTCAGTCAACTTTTATGCTTTATTTGGATTATTTATTTGAGAATTATTTGAGTGGTGTGCCTGTAAACTAGCTGGGTAAGCTAAGTGCACTTTCCACCATAAACAATGCTACATGTATATACATGTGCTGTGTACAGGACAGTCTGGTCATTACAAATGACTTACTCCAAACAAACAAGTTTACTATGTAAGAAACAAAGTTTGCCAAACAACCAAACAAACAGCAGGCTGCCTAAATTGTCTGTCAATGATGAAAATGGAATCTGATGGTCATTTGACTGACTTTGATCCAGTCACTGTAATATTATGATATGACATGACATGACTCCTGACTATTCATGCTTATTATAATGCTCATTCCATGGGAAAGAAAGGATGATGAAATATTATTTTACTAACAATATAATCCTTCAGGTGACTGTATGCTGGGTTGCACATTAACAGATTTTGGGTTGTTTCAGAACAATAAACAAACACAGTTTTGCTGGTGAGAGAAAAAGAATATTTAACATTAAAATAAAGTACTTTGTTATTTACAGTTTGAGAAGTTACTTTAATTAAAATTTAAATTACATTTTTAATTTACTTTAAAATGTTGATGGGTTATGATCCTAGAGGACCTTCAGTACGTAAGTTACCTTGGTGAACAAAGAAAGCAAATATTTTTGGCCTGAGCACAAATCCAGTGACTTGTTAAAGATGCAAGATATCGGAACATATTTAATTTTCTTCCACAGGAAAGTGGAAAATGCTTTAATCAAAAGTTACTAGTTATCCAAAACAACAAACTGCATTACATTATTTTCAAATCTAATATCTACACCTTGCAGATGGAAAATCACCATCCACCAAGGTTTCTCTTACCTTGTCATCAGTCTGTCATGGAAAGCCAAAGAATCCAATCCAGACATATGATCTGAGTGAAATACAAACAAGAAACAAATTTGCTATAATTTCACCTCTCTCCTTTTCACCTACTTTCCAATGTTTATACAGAACCACATAAATGTCATATTTGGTGAGATCTTACTGTCAAACTCAGAAAACCATGAACATCAAAAAATTTCAGAAATGTTGATTATGTAATGACCAATCACAGTGAAGATCAGGACAGGGGAGCAAAAACTACTTTATGTAAGAACACAGATTATGCAAAACAAAAGAAACAAATTAAGGTAGTAGACAATAACATCTCCCCACGAGGTTTGTCAATTTCTGTTTGTTTCTTTTGTTTGTTTCACTCAATCTGTGCCCCTAGGGTAAACATTTCCGTACAGGCCCCCATTTAAGGTTACTAATGATGGAGCACGCAAACTGTAAAATGTGCGGAAATCTTTACCAGTGCATGTATTTTAGTAAAGACGAATAAGCTTTATACCTTTGTGACAATGAGAAAGAAAAAATGCCACACTATCAAGATTCCCTTTCTCAAAATTGTCTGCAGAGATTGCAGGATACTCCCGGAATTTTCCCGTAAAAGAGCTCATGTTGAATCGCGACAACGCTCTGTCCACGATCGGTTAGAACAGGCACAAGTATAATGAGAAATATCACGTCATTTTAAGGGGAAAGAAGGTCGAAATACTTAAAAAAATAATAATCAAATATGGCGGCATTTCGCGAATTGTGGTGCCCAGTCTCAATTCTACCATATAAGGCCAACATGGTCATATTTGGTAACGTGACATCACCCGACAAGTGCTATCACTGTATCACGGGTTTCTCTTGTTGTCTTGTTGTAAAGTCTTGAAGTTCTTCGTATATTTATAGCTGTTTTAAGAATATCATTGAGGTCTTTGTGATGTCCGCGGCTGATATAGAGTCGCAGGATTCCATAGACGCGGAATCGAGCGAATATGATGAGGATGAAGATAATGATGACGACTATTATTACACGAATATTTATGACGATGAAGGGATGGCGTCCGACAAAGAGGAAGACCCTGAAAGTTTCGAATATGTGATCATTGATTCGAATGAAGCTAAGCAAATGTTCGATTCCTTTGTAGCTAACGTTTCCCGGCAAATAAAGGTGGGATCCTTAACGATACCTTTAAAGTGCAATAATATTGTTCGGTAATGTCATCATATCTTCGTGATCTTTATTTATTTCCTATTTCACTAAGTTCTAATTTATTTCCAAGGTGTCGGAATCTGTTGCTAGGATTCTTCTTATTCAGCATGACTGGAACACAGAGAAGATTTTAGAAAGGTTTATCTTATTTATTTTAAATTCAATCTCATTGTCCCCTAGATAGGAGACCCGTTAGCTCTTATTAATTACATTATTTTAGGTTATTTGAATTCATAGTAATTGATCAATAATTAAGTTACAAGACATCAGTAAACAAAGAATTCATTGAGCTTACATAGTTCGACATAAGCTTACACACCTTATCTCGGCTGTTATTTATCACAACCTATGAGATGGAAAGGAAATTGGAAAAAATACATGTCGATCTAGGCCAATTCCTAAATATTGACTCATTAGTCAGTCAATTTCAAGTGTCCCCACCTGGTGGAAGACGGGGAGTGGGGGGATGCTTGGGTCAGTTTTTGCTGGGTATGTGCCGCTGGTTTCTCATAACCACCACCCCTTTATAGTCTATTCTGTGGCAAATTATAGACTCCACATTAGTCACTTTTGGACAAATGTAATTTCCGCGATCCCAACATAGTCATTTTCTGTTGATGCATCTACCTTGTAAAGCCTTTTAACTAGGTCATCCTGAAATTAATCTTCCTTTCTTTAAATCCCTAATTATCAGAATATTCTTATCCCCAAAATCCCAAATGTGTGTGACCCCATTCATGTAACTGTGTTGAATTCAACCTTGTTGTAGTCAGTCCAGTTGTGAAAATGCAACCCCATCCAGTGGCACATCCCAAATAGACTGTTACTACAAAGTACCCCACCCACCTCCCTCATCATTCCAGGGTAGCAAGAGGTGATATTTATGTAAGAGCTGCCTCAGTTTATCCAATAATTATAGCAGAAAGGATTGTTAATTTTGGTAAATTTACCAATCTTTACACTCCCCTGCGTATATGCACGTATTTCATTGTGTGAGAACTGGAAACAATGTACATAGGTGTACATGAGCATGCAAGCAGTCACAATCAAGAGTTTTGCTTGTGAAGCGAAAAACTGATAACACTCTTTCTTGTGTCTGTTACCTTAACAGCAAAGAGAAGAGAATTTGCAACAAAAAAAGATAGAGAGGGCAGTGGTAGATTAAAAATATAATAAATATTGTATTTTGTAGGCACAGGATTGATCCTGTAGGTCTACTTGTAGAAGGAAGAATTATTCCTGAAAAACCTGCCCCTCAAACTGTAAGTATTTCGAGAACCATTCACTGAATTTTTACATGACAAGTCATGTGGTATAATACAGTCAAACCTTGTAAATATGGACAGCGAGGAGGTCACAGAAAGTGTCCGTATTAACAAGGTGTCCGTATTTTGTTTTTGTTTCATCATGAGACGAGAACAAAAGCTTTTAATTAATTCCTTTTTTATGCAAAAGAGAATGGCAGGATAAGGATGTTGTAGGTGGAGAAGTCAGTTTGATAAGTTAACCTCCAGAACTGCACGAGGCTATTGGGATAGTGTGGATGATGTCAGTTGTTCAAAGTTTCAAGATAATATTTTGACTCAGACCAGTTTTGAAATGACCCAATTTAAAATGCCATGTGGGACATATGACACACTTTGACCAATTTCTAGATTAAACACTGACTTTGATATATCAAGGCTCCACTGTAATTTGCTGGTTGATTGGATTCAACCCCCCTCCCCCACCACTTTAAAATCTCGGATCAACAGCAACGACAGCGAGCTTTATTTGCATGACCATACAAGTACATACAGTACTGCAAAAGCTACACTGTATTTTAAAAAAAGAAACTAAAATTATATCATAGGAGAATTAAGTTAATTTGATGATAATTTTTCATAAAGATCAAAGCAAGCTGATCCTTCCCAGCCTTGTACTGTGGGTACATCACTTACTACTTTCATTTCACTCTGCAGACTTCAAGGTCACTTTACTGTCCGGTATGTTTCCAACGTTGCACAAAGTCCAACACAAGCAGTGCAGCCTGTGGCCATGTGTTCTGTGATGATTGCTGGTTGCTGTATTGTATTTCACAGTTAAAAATTGGCTTATCCTCTGGTATGCAGTGAAAAAAAATTTTCTGTCTAGATACAAGTGTAAATTTTGTAACTTTTTAGCACTTTCAAAAATCACCATATTATCAAAGGGATGTTCCTGCAAGGAGGCCTTCATTTATGTAATGGGCCGACCTCAGCAGCAAAGCTGTAAAGCCCAAAGGGCCCTGTGAAGCTATTAGGGCACCCCCAAAATCACAAGTGGGACTCTTGGGAAGCATTTTCTCGAGTTTAACTTAGCCTAAAGTTCACTCAGCCACATTTAAAAATTAAAATGAAAACAATGCATACTACTACACTGAAAGAATTGCCAGAAATTAGCAACCAAATTAGGGTGGCCCCAGCACTGTATATTATTCAGGTTTAAATTTGTAAAGATTATTGTTAAAATGACCAGTAATTTTCCTTGACCATTGATAATTAGTTTGTCATAAACAAGGATGTACCATAGGATGGAACATTGATCACTGAGGTTGCGCTGTGCAATTTTTTTCAGGTATTGAGTGTATGAACTGCAATCTTTTAATTGGAGAAGAAATGGCTCTGAAAGTACTCAAAAATGATGCAGCTGAAGAAAAATATAGGAATTTTCTTTTTAATGATGAAGTTAAGGTGAGTATTCAAATTTTGTATCATCAAGTTGAATGATAACGATGGTTTTAAAAATTCACGTGTTAGCCTTCTTGAAGAGATCCAGTGGTGGTATCGTGATCACTAGACCATTCTTATTTCTCTTTATAATAAACTTAAAAGAAATTACTTAGGATAGGAGACAAGCAGAAACGTTTTGCTCTTTTCAATGCATTCACCACTGGAAATTTGACAAAAAAAAAAATATCGCCGTTTTAAGCTGTTTGAGTCATGGCTTGATCACCGCATGGCCAAGAAGAACCAAAACTCTAATAATGTTGTTTTGCAGTCAAGCACTGTGCTAGCTTTTGTTAAGCTACATGTAAAGGAATGCAACAACTCCCAACATTGTTTGGCCAACAATGTTGGGAGTGCTGTACAAACAGATGCAACAACTCCCAACAATGTTGGTACCTGCAGTGCATTGTGGGAAGGTCACAACCCATAAGACTTTGGAGACCATGTGTTAAGATTTTAGAAAGGTTTATCTTATTTATTTTAAATTCAATCTCATTGTCCCCTAGATAGGAGACCCGTTAGCTCTTATTAATTACATTATTTTAGGTTATTTGAATTCATAGTAATTGATCAATAATTAAGTTACAAGACATCAGTAAACAAAGAATTCATTGAGCTTACATAGTTCGACATAAGCTTACACACCTTATCTCGGCTGTTATTTATCACAACCTATGAGATGGAAAGGAAATTGGAAAAAATACATGTCGATCTAGGCCAATTCCTAAATATTGACTCATTAGTCAGTCAATTTCAAGTGTCCCCACCTGGTGGAAGACGGGGAGTGGGGGGATGCTTGGGTCAGTTTTTGCTGGGTATGTGCCGCTGGTTTCTCATAACCACCACCCCTTTATAGTCTATTCTGTGGCAAATTATAGACTCCACATTAGTCACTTTTGGACAAATGTAATTTCCGCGATCCCAACATAGTCATTTTCTGTTGATGCATCTACCTTGTAAAGCCTTTTAACTAGGTCATCCTGAAATTAATCTTCCTTTCTTTAAATCCCTAATTATCAGAATATTCTTATCCCCAAAATCCCAAATGTGTGTGACCCCATTCATGTAACTGTGTTGAATTCAACCTTGTTGTAGTCAGTCCAGTTGTGAAAATGCAACCCCATCCAGTGGCACATCCCAAATAGACTGTTACTACAAAGTACCCCACCCACCTCCCTCATCATTCCAGGGTAGCAAGAGGTGATATTTATGTAAGAGCTGCCTCAGTTTATCCAATAATTATAGCAGAAAGGATTGTTAATTTTGGTAAATTTACCAATCTTTACACTCCCCTGCGTATATGCACGTATTTCATTGTGTGAGAACTGGAAACAATGTACATAGGTGTACATGAGCATGCAAGCAGTCACAATCAAGAGTTTTGCTTGTGAAGCGAAAAACTGATAACACTCTTTCTTGTGTCTGTTACCTTAACAGCAAAGAGAAGAGAATTTGCAACAAAAAAAGATAGAGAGGGCAGTGGTAGATTAAAAATATAATAAATATTGTATTTTGTAGGCACAGGATTGATCCTGTAGGTCTACTTGTAGAAGGAAGAATTATTCCTGAAAAACCTGCCCCTCAAACTGTAAGTATTTCGAGAACCATTCACTGAATTTTTACATGACAAGTCATGTGGTATAATACAGTCAAACCTTGTAAATATGGACAGCGAGGAGGTCACAGAAAGTGTCCGTATTAACAAGGTGTCCGTATTTTGTTTTTGTTTCATCATGAGACGAGAACAAAAGCTTTTAATTAATTCCTTTTTTATGCAAAAGAGAATGGCAGGATAAGGATGTTGTAGGTGGAGAAGTCAGTTTGATAAGTTAACCTCCAGAACTGCACGAGGCTATTGGGATAGTGTGGATGATGTCAGTTGTTCAAAGTTTCAAGATAATATTTTGACTCAGACCAGTTTTGAAATGACCCAATTTAAAATGCCATGTGGGACATATGACACACTTTGACCAATTTCTAGATTAAACACTGACTTTGATATATCAAGGCTCCACTGTAATTTGCTGGTTGATTGGATTCAACCCCCCTCCCCCACCACTTTAAAATCTCGGATCAACAGCAACGACAACGAGCTTTATTTGCATGACCATACAAGTACATACAGTACTGCAAAAGCTACACTGTATTTTAAAAAAGAAACTAAAATTATATCATAGGAGAATTAAGTTACTTTGACGATAATTTGTCATGAAGATCAAAGCAAGCTGATCCTTCCCAGCCTTGTACTGTGGGTACATCACTTATTGTCTTCATCTCACTCTGCAGACTTCAAGGTCACTTTACTGTCCGGTATGTTTCCAACGTTGCACAAAGTCCAACACAAGCAGTGCAGCCTGTGGCCATGTGTTCTGTGATGATTGCTGGTTGCTGTATTGTATTTCACAGTTAAAAATTGGCTTATCCTCTGGTATGCAGTGAAAAAAAATTTTCTGTCTAGATACAAGTGTAAATTTTGTAACTTTTTAGCACTTTCAAAAATCACCATACTATCAAAGGGATGTTCCCACAGGGAGGCCTTCATTTATGTAATGGGCTGACCTCAGCAGCAAAGCTGTAAAGCCCAAAGGGCCCTGTGAAGCTATTAGGGCGCCCCCAAAATCACAAGTGGGACTCTTGGGCAGCATTTTCTTGAGTTTAACTTAGCCTAAAGTTCACTCAGCCACATTTAAAAAATTAAAATGAAAACAATGCATGCTACTACACTGAAAGAATTGCCAGAAATTAATAACCAAATTAGGGTGGTTCCAGCATTGTATATCGTTCAGGTTTAAATTTGTAAAGATTATTGTTAAAGTGACCAGTAATAATTTTCCTTGACCATTGATAATTAGTTTGTCATAAACAAGGATGTACCATAGGATGGAACATTGTTCACTGAGGTTGTGCTGTACATTTTTTTTTAAGGTATTGAGTGTATGAACTGCAATCTTTTAATTGGAGAAGAAATGGCTCTGAAAGTACTCAAAAATGACGCAGCTGAAGAAAAATATAGGCATTTTCTTTTTAATGATGAAGTTAAGGTGAGTATCCAAATTTTGTATCATCAAGTTGAATGGTAACATAAAAATCCAGGTGTTAGCCTTCTTGAAGAGATCCAGTGGTGATATTGTGATCACTAGACCATTCTGACTTATTTCTCATTATAATGTTATAAATTCTTTAATGTTTATTGTTTTACTTAAACTTAAAAAAACTTACTTAGGGTAGGAGACAAGCACCAAGAAAAACATTTTGCTCTGTTCAACGCATTCAACTCTGGAAATTTGGCAAAAAAAACGTCATTTTAAGGTGTTTGAGTCATGTCTTGATCACTACATGGCCAAGAAGAACCGAAACTCTAATAATGTTGTTTTGTAGTCAAGCACTGTGCTAGCTTTTGTCAAGCTACATGCAAAGGAACGCAGCAACTCCCAACATTGTTTGGCCAACAATGTTGGGAGTGCTGTACAAACAGATGCAACAACTCCCAACAATGTTGGTACCTGCAGTGCATTGTGGGAAGGTCACAACCCATAAGACTTTGGAGACCATGTGTAGTGTGCGTGCGTGTCCCTAACAATGTTGGAAGAGCTGTGCAAATGAATCCAACATTGTTGCACCACACCTCGGCATTCACAGAACAAAAGAAATGTTGGGAGTTGTCAGTGTAAAAGTTTGACCTGTTTCAAACTTTGCGCAACAACATGCAACAGGGTGTGCAATCGGACGCAATGTATAACATCCAACAATGTTGGGTGTTGTTGTCCAACACTATTGCGTCCGTCTGCACTGAGTACAGGGCTTAACTGATGCTAACCTGATGACATCACAGAGGTACAAGGGATAGGGGTCCACACCAGCTGTTATGGAGCACTGAGGCTTGACTAGGTTAATGAATTAAGTTATGTATTTATTTTTTATTCTTTTTTTTTTGTCAGCATCATCCTTTAATTAGATGGTGCCCAGGAAGTGACTGCGGTTATCTCGTTAAAGTAGTGGAACCCAAAGCAAAACGAATATGGTGTTCACATTGTTATTCAATATTCTGGTGAGTCTTGTTCTATGCCTCATTTATGCTTAGAAATAACCTCGCAGTGTCATTGGGCTCCTAACAAGTGTTACGGAGACACAGATTTCCTTTCCGTCAAAATCTTTGTGTTCGCTAACGTCTTCACAATCCATTGTTGAGAAAGAGGCTTCATGTTCCACATTTCCAATAAAATAGTTGACCCTTTACTTCTAGAGAACTTTACAGCAAGATTTAGCCTGCGAGCAGTCTCACTTTTGTGCTCTTATTTTTCTAACCGGCTCCACCACCAAAATTGTCCCCGAAATGACACAAGTGAGCACACACTGCTGACCTCGACCGCTACTGTCCTCTGTGATGAGTCTAAAGAGTGACCTTGCAGACTAACGCCATTGCTGGAGTTCCAACTTTGCTTTGATTATTCCTGTCATGAATCTTGCTCCACTTGCATATTTATATAATTTTATCCGATGTACGCTATGTTTTTGCAGTTTCTTGTGCGGAGAGAAATACCACGCTCCTACAGACTGTTATACCATTAAGAAATGGCTTACAAAATGTGAAGACGACTCAGAGACGGCAAATTATATCACAGCTAACACAAAGGATGTAAGTGCTGGCCATCGATTCAACTGTTTCTTCTTACTATTTATTAATTATTTCAAAATTTTATAAGTAAAGAATATCCACTCCCCGCAGTTTACAATAGCTGGTCGAGACGAACATCTCACCAGCAGGACTAGAGAAAAGGAAATAAAATTAAGTTTACAGTCATGTATATTGCAAAGTAAAAAATGCAAATATAAGAAGGCGAGTGTTCGAGAAATTTTCGTTGTTAAGTCCGGTAAATCAATATAATCATTCTCATCTGAAAGTTTTTGGAGTAAAGTGTCGAGGATATTGATTTTGAAGTTATTTTTTGACATGCGACGCATTTGACAAGATAAACTATTCGATATTTTTAAGCCAACCTTGAAAAAGACTTACCGGTACTTTAATTGTCTAATCCTGAACGTTTAACATAGTAATTACCTCTTGTAAATGATCTTGCACTATATGGATGAATGTTAGATTGGGAATTAAATAAATTATAATCGTGTTAGTAGGTGTTTGCGTTAGGCTGCGAGAAATTTCTTCTTTTCTCAGTTTTTTAAAAGGAAAGAAAAGTCCGCCAGCGAGACGAAACAAGTTCGCTGTGAGCGTCGCTGCTGCAAGCTGCGAAGGTCCCAAAATCGGTCTTTTCCTTCCTCTCCCCATTCCCTCCTCGTTTTGTACGGCTAGTTTTCCGCGATCATCCGCGATCACTGATCTGATGAAAAAATAACGTTTGCGCTCGCACATTCTGGTGACGCCCTGCTAAAAGTCTGTTATAGTGTTCCCCGAAAATCATTTTTGTAAATGGCTGTTGTTTTTAAATGCAGTGTCCAAACTGTGGAAGCTGTATCGAGAAGAATGGTGGATGTAATCATATGGTATGTACGATTATTTAATAATCCTTATCTCTAAAAGATTCTATTCATTGGGAACGCAAACAAATACAGCGGAACTCCGTTAATACGGTCACCAATGGGCCAAAAGCCGTAATAACCAGGTGACCGTATTAACGAGGTTTTCTTTACAAGAAAAAAAAAAGTGGCCATAATAACGAGGTGACCGTATTACTGAGGTGGCCGTAAGTCGGGGTTCCACTTTAAAGTCATCTGTGTGTTGTTGACTTTTACATGGGTATTATTCTTTTTTAATTATCATTTTCAATTTTCGCATTTCTCTCACTGATTTTTTTGTTTCGTTTTAATTTTTCAGCAATGTATAAAGTGCAAACACGGTATGTTGAACATTTTAAGTTTAAAATGCATTGCCGAGTAGTCAAGACTTAAATTGCTTTAAATCTTGTGGTGTAACAAAAATATCAAGAAAACTTCTTCTTGGGAAATAATGTTTCAGATTTTTGCTGGATGTGTTGTGGAGACTGGAGAAGTCATGGATCAGAGTATTACGAATGTAGTCGATATAAATCCAATCCAAATATTGTTAACGAGTCTGCTGGAATTCAAGCAAGAGAGGCGCTCAAGAAATATCTCTTCTATTTTGAAAGGGTATGTGGTGGCAAGTGTTTCTAGTTTTACCACAGTGCCTTCCCTTTCAAAGAAAAAAGGGAATAAGGCCCGGTTCAGAAGCCGAACTTTTCATGAGCCGAACCTAATTCGAATTAAGGCCGACCCAAATTGTTTAGACTGTCTGAATTGATTCAGACGCCGATCTTAATTCCAGCCGAACTAAATTCAAAGGGAGAAAAATGCTCATTTCGGTCAAACTGCTTACAAAATACGTTATAATAATTTATGCATTAGGTTCGGTACATGAAAAGTTCGGCGTCTGAGTCAAAGCCGTTCCAAAGTCGCTCCAGAGGCGAAATTTCCGGCCAGGACAGGAAAAAGGAACGGCTGAGCCGTTCCAAATTGAAACAGGCGTTCCTAATTGATTCACACGCCGAACTTTTCGTATACTTAAGTCAATGTATTAGGTTCGGCTCATGAAAAGTTCGCGTCTGAACCGGGCCCAAGTGTCCCGTTGACATGCTTGCGTGTCCGGCCACATCTTGGAAGTGAGGCTTAGCGTGATACTGAAAGATTTTATGGCGCTGTTGACGCCGGGATTTGTGTTTTTTAATTTATTCTCCCAATTTGTTGATGTTTTATTCTCTCAAGACAGGACTCAAAATAACAGCTGGTCAACGGACAATTTCGGGCAAGAATGGCCTCTCGACTGGCCAAAAATTTCACTCGCCGGACATGTTGACCGGTCACGCACACTCTCATTCTTGAATAAACAGCCAAATCCTCACCTGGAATTCAGATTTTGACTCCTTCTAAAAATACAATCACTTTAACTTTAACTTTATCGCCTTTTGTACTGAAGCCTTTTAGTGTGAAGACAGAGTGTACGTCAGCTTAAAGATTTACAGTTTTAGAAAAAAACCTTAGAGACTAGTTATTTTAATATTAGTTAAAATTTAGACGTTATAACTAAATCGCCCATTATTTTATCTGTGTAGTTTGCGTCACCTTGTAAGTTGTAAAGGGATTCATTGCCATTTTTCGTAGAACCGTTTCTCAAGTTGTGATTTGCTATTGTATTTATTGTTTTTGCTAGTGGCAAAACCATGCTGATAGCCTCAAACGAGAACAAGAGACAAAACGGAAAATAAATCAGAAGATACAAGAAAAAGTCAACAATAATATCGGCACATGGATAGACTGGCAATATCTCATGGATGCTGCTCAGTTACTCGCTAAGGTAAGCAGGCCGTTACATGTACTTATGATATATCGACTTTTGTTGACACCTAAACTGATGATGGTAGGATCAGGACGAAAGAGTTAAGATAACAACGATTATGTTGGTTGTGTTGATGGTTTTGTTGACCATAATGATATGGAAGGTAATGAAGACGATATCAATGATGATAATGAGGCCGGTGATGCACGTGGTGATAGTATGATGGCGATGATGATGATGATGATGATGGTTGTTATTATTATTATTATTATTAGTATTATTATTATTATTATTATTATTATTATTATTATAATTATTAACTTTTTATCAGTTTGAATTATTTTTAGATAGTTTTATTTTTTATTAACTTTTTGATGCTTTTTATAATTGTTATTAGTAGTTTTTAGATAGTCATTTTACGACAATTCTCTTTCGTACACAAGAAGAATGTACATAGGGTATATATTTTAATATTCATATTCTTGAATCTGTAAATAGTCTATTTTTTTGAATCTATGAATAAAGTTATTTAATTATCATTATTATTATTATTATTATTATTATTATTATTTTGAAAAAATTATTATTATTATTATTATTATTATTATTATTATTATTATTATTATTATTATGCTGATGATGATGATGATGATGATCAGAACGATGTCGACGACGATGATCAGAATTCTGATGGTTAGAGCAGTGGTAAAGATGATGTTTAGTATCGAGTTGACCCACTTTCTTCCATTCATGTTTCAGTGTCGTTACACGATGATGTACACTTATCCCTATGCTTACTTCATGGAGGATGAGAGAAAAAGACTTGTAAGTTTACTTCCGGAGAATTCACCATACAATTTCGATGAATTACATTGTATTCACACTTGGCTCCGAGGCTTGGAGGAATAAAACAAACTTAATCAACTTGAAGCTCAGAGATGAGTTGTTTTATTCTTCTAAGACTCAGAGCCCAGGAATGAATTTTAAGTTATCAAAACTGGTTTATATATTTGCCACTCTTTTAGACCTAGTCTTACTTCTAGATAAGCTTTTTTCATTAATTACGATATTTTCCATGTACATTTAAACCACCTCTGTCATTAATGCATCCGTCCGTCTATGTGGGGACAATTCTCTCCTTTGTTCGGTCAATTTGAGTCGGTTTAAAGGTTTGACTGTATTTTTTCTTAACAGTTTGAGTATCAACAAGCACAGCTTGAGTTGGAAATAGAAAATTTGTCTTGGAAATTAGAACGAGATGAGCTTTATTGTAGAGGGGTAAGTGAGTATTGATAGCAGATCTAAAGAGGCAACATGAATATGCGTCTTCATGATTTAAACACAGAGATTTCTTCGGTTGCCGTTCAGAAAAGAAAGAGGAAACTTCTGTTCTGTAGTGTTAGTATGGAGCTCAAGCATCAACGGCGGCGAAGGCTACGAAAACGTCGCTTAAAAAGTGAATTCGCACTGCTTCAAACTTTATCGCGCTTCTTCCATCTCGTTCAGTTCGTCAAATATTGGTAGCCTGCGAGCAAGCTCTCCTATTTTGGCGAGTGAAACAAGTCTCGCGAGAACGCGCGAGCGGGCGGCGAAGCCGCGAGGGTCCTCGGCCCCTCGCTCGCGCGTTCTTCCCGAGACTCGCTTCGCTTGCCCAAATAGGAGAGCGTGCTCGCAGGCTAAATGTTGGCAATGTTTTTCTCGAGTTAAATTCTAAAAGACTGTATCGAAGTTCAGAAAAAGGAAAAGAAAATCGTTGTCCTGTGTTCAAGTCCTCCATACAACGTGAAATTAGGAAGCTTCACGTCGTAGTCGTGCAGTAACGCCAAAGAAATGTACAAAAAAGTGTAATGCACGTGCAGAGTTCAGTGTTGTTTTAAAGCTAGTGCTTTTTTTGCCGTTCTCGTTGTCGTCGTCGTTGCTTAAGGTCCCTATTCGGTTTCTGGGGATGGCTCAAGAAGATGTGAGCAGGAAGAATATAGTCAACTCTTTCTAAGTCGGACACCTTTGGGGCAGGTACTAAGTGTCCGTCTAAGAGAGATACCCGTCTTATAGAGAGTCAAATAAAGGGAGTAAAGAAAGGCAAGGACTAACTCTAGGTGTCCGTTTTACAGAGGTGTCCGTCTTATAGAGGTATCGTTAAGAGAGAGTTAGCCTGCGTAGCAACCGTTTCCTTTTTTTTGCTTGCGCTCTAACTTTCGCGCACTAACTCGATTGGAAACGCTTTCTACGCAGGCTAAGAGAGAGTCGACTATAGTCTCTCTTCCTCGTAATTTTTTTCCCGCTGTCTGCCTTCGCGCTACACTCTACTATCCGAACACCTGAAACAGGCAATAGTGTTGTTATATTGGATGTCAGTAGGTCAAAACAGCCATGTGTTACGCTATTTTAGCAACGGTGACTGGAATGATTACCTTACGTTTTGCTACCAAGTCGTTTCGCTACTTATTGAAGTTGTTTTGCTACGAAATCGTTTCGCTGCATATTGAAGTCGTTTCGCTGCAAAGTCGTTAAGGTACAATTTTGAAAACGCACAGAAAACTTTGTTCTTAGCAGTGTGTTTTGTTATAAACATAAAAGCTTGTTTTGGTCAAGAATTGAATTAGACTTGGTGGCCCTTGGAGATGACCACTAAATATGGTGCGCTGTTGCGTTTCGAAAAAAAAAATCTCGTAAAAGCAGCCCAATATGTGTTCGAAAAATGTCCTGATAAAAGTTCATCATCTTGGTTTTAATATTTTTCATTGGTATTATTATCTTTCAGGACTTTGAAAATCAAATGGATATAGCAGAGAAGAGAAGACAGACGTTACTGAAAGACTTTCTTGTGGTTTAGTTACAACGGCTACGTTTGTTATGTCTTGTGTGACCGTCACGTTCTCTGAGAGACATGATTCAAGTCGTTCAAGTCACGCCAGATCTTAAGGAGATAATTTAGAAAAAAATTCCGGCATTAGAATTATTTCAAGAAACGTTTTCTCGTCTCTGTTTGTGTTACAAAGACTTGAAATGTTTAGCTCTTATACATGGGTATTATTCTTTTTTAATTATCATTTTCAATTTTCGCATTTCTCTCACTGATTTTTTTGTTTCGTTTTAATTTTTCAGCAATGTATAAAGTGCAAACACGGTATGTTGAACATTTTAAGTTTAAATTGCATTACCGAGCAGTCAAGACTTAATTGCTTTAAATCTCGTTGTGTAAGAAAAATATCAAGAAAACTTCTTTTTTGGGAAATGTTGTTTCAGATTTTTGCTGGATGTGTTGTGGAGACTGGAGAAGTCATGGATCAGAGTATTACGAATGTAGTCGATATAAATCCAATCCAAATATTGTTAACGAGTCTGCTGGAATTCAAGCTAGAGAGGCGCTCAAGAAATATCTCTTCTATTTTGAAAGGGTATGTGATGGCAAGTGAACCTATAGCCCCGTTTCCAGGTTTACCACGATACCTTCTCTTTCAAAGAAAAAAGGATGATGTGTCCCCATTGACATGCTTGCGTATCCGGCCTCGTCTTGGAGGAGAGGCTTAGCGTGATACTGAAAGATTTTATGGCGCTGTTGACGCTGGGATTTGTCTTTTTTTATTTATTCTCCCAATTTGTTGATGTTTTTTTCGCGCAAGACAGGACTCAAAATAACAGCTGGTCAACGGACAATGTCCGGCCAGAATGGCCTCTTGACCGGCCAAAAATTTCACTCGCCGGTCATGTTGACTGGTCACGCACACTCCCATTCATGAATAAACAGCCAAATCCTCACTTGGAAATCAGATTTTGACTTCTTCTAAAAAATACAATCACTTTAACTTTAACTTTATCGCGTTTTGTCCTGAAGTCTTTTAGTGTGAAGAAAGAGTGTACGTCAGCTTACAGAATTTACAATTTTAGAAAAAAAGTTAGAGACTAGTTATTTTAATATTAGTTCAAATTTAGACGTTATAACTAAAACGTGCGTTATTTTCTCGCGAGTCGGTGTAGTTTGCGTCACCTTATAAGTTTTTGAAGGGATTCATTGCCATTTTTCGCAGAACCATTTCTCAAGTTGTGATTTGCTCGTGCTGTATTTATTGTTTTTGCTAGTGGCAAAACCATGCTGATAGCCTCAAACGAGAACAAGAGACAAAACGAAAAATAAATCAGAAGATACAGGAAAAAGTCAACAATAATATCGGCACATGGATAGACTGGCAATATCTCATGGATGCTGCTCAGTTACTCGCTAAGGTAAGCAGGTCGTTACCTGTACTTATGATATATCGACTTTTGTTGACACCTAAACTAATGATGGTAGGATCAGGACGAAAGAGTTAAGATAACAATGATTATGTTGGTTGTGGTGATGGTTTTGTTGTCCATAATGATATGGAAGGTATTAAAGACGATATCAATGATGATAATGAGGCCGGTGATGCACTTGGTGATAGTATGATGGCGATGATGATGATGATGATGGTTATTATTATTATTATTATTATTATTATTATTATTATTATTATTATTATTATTATGCTGATGATGATGATGATGATGATCAGAACGATGACGACGACGATGATCAGAATGGTGATGGTTAGAGCAGTGGTAAAGATGATGTTTAGTATCGAGTTGACCCACTTTCTTCCATTCATGTTTCAGTGTCGTTACACGATGATGTACACTTATCCCTATGCTTACTTCATGGAGGATGAGAGAAAA